TTGTTTTCCTTGCTGGATTACTTTTGACTTTGGTCTTCCTTGCTGGATTACATCAAGCTCAAGGACATTCGAAGGCGTAAGTTCATGTTTGGAATTCATCCCCATGGACAGGTGATGATTTCCAAAGGGGGGACTGTAGTGGACTAGGCCTGATGTCAAAACTGACCATATGGGACTGAAACTGTCATTTCATTGATTTGAATCCAGAAATACAGGTTAACCCATCCTGAGACTTTTTTTCTTGAATTAATCAAGTGGAAAAAGACAATTCTCTATGATCATTACTATTTTACAAATGTTTTGATAATCAAATTGTGTTAGTTCAAACAATGTTTACATGTTGAAGTGAACTACTCATTTTTATTTACTTAAACAGTAGTAATGATTCTTAATCCTCAATTCAAAGAGAAATCAAGTTAGAGTACGTTACAGAGTAATGATTCAATTTCTTGATCGTCTGCTTTGAAGTGAGCAAATTTGTAAGTGTGTCGAAGTTCGAGGTTCGGTCAACTAAGAAGTTTACTGAAAAGAAATGTCATGTTTAACTTTTACAGCGAGATACTTGTTGAGTGGCTCCACGAAGACTGGTTTTCTCCAACAATCTTTCTGTCTGTTCTTAAACAATCCTTGACTTTCAATAACACCTTACATCACAAACCACACCTCTGCTTTGGTCCATCGACCAATCAAAAGGCTCTCAAATGAACCGGAAGTAGAGCTCTTTAAAATGTGGGCACTTCCTAGTTCAAGCAGAGTTTTGGAGTTCAGAGAGTTCAGCTCAGTCTTGAAGCTGCTGTAAGCTCAGTCTTGAAGATGGAGTAGCAGTTCAAGCAGAGAGTTTTTGGAATTCAGATGCAGAGAGTTTGGGAGTTCCAGAATGCAAACGCAGGCATTCATGGATGCTGCTAAATTAGAATCAAGCTGAACCAGAGACGATTTTGGGAATTATAACTTCTGTTTGGATAACCTCGCACGACTCCCAAGGTTTTTAGCTGTCCTCACGGAGACGCTGAAAGAGTCAAAAGAAGAGCTCTACACCGACGCTGAAGCTATCATCTGCAAGGTAAAAGTTCTATTTCGACCAAGCGTACCGTTGGCCCAAGCTGGAAAAGAAGGAGCGTGTCAGTTCTGGTTAAAACAGACAAATTCCCTCACACATCTCTCTGTAGACAAACTTCACTTTCCATCTTCAAACTCTCCTATCTGCTAGAAAATTAATCCAGATGTCTTCAGAAATGTCTGTGGTGAAGCAACGGAAAATCATGGCCATATGGTTTTCCTGGTTGTAAAGCTGATTAATTATGTCGTTATTTTTCAATTCTTGCCAATTAATGTAAATGTGTGATGTGTTAAACTTGATTCTGTTAATAAATGACCCACTGTCGTGGTGAGTCAAAGATAATTAACGTCTCACGTTACATTTCTGTTAAATTCAAAGCACGACATCATACAGTCCAGAAAGATGAGTGAACCCGTTTAATGTATGAATATATCTCTCCATATGTCATACTACACACTCCTGAACTCTGCCTCCTGACATCTGAATAACAACAACGGTCTGTATTCTCATACACACAACAACAGCACATGGACTGTAACACCACCACCTGCACTTGTATCCGTTAGCCCACTACTGTACACACTGTACACATAATCTACTATCTACTGTTCATAAGTACTCACATACTTGTATATATATTGTTTTCTTTTATATAGCTGTTTATACTCCTTCATATTATAACCTGTTCATAGTCTGTACACTCAAAACCTGTATATATTTATACCTATAGCATATTCAAAGCAACTTACTGTATATTGTACTATATATATATCTACCAATTTATTTTTCTTGCTAAGCACTTCTGGATAGATGCAAACTGCATTTCGTTGCTTTGTACCTGTGACATGTGCAATGACAACAAAGTTGAATTCTATTCTATTCTATAATCACCTGTGTGTTTGACTTCCTTCCTGTTGGGTTGTAACACACTTGTAATGATTGAGGTTGGATCAGAACCACAAGAATCCAGAAGAGGTTTAAAAGGTTTTATTAATAAACAAAGAGCTACCACTCTCGGCTGGTGTTGGTGGTCAAGGAGCCGTAGCTGGGTCTTGAAAGGCTCAATGGGCCAGAGGCTGAGCGCTGAACAGCGCGGAAATGTCACTGAGGGGCGGTGTGCGATGGTGATCTTGAGTGGGCGATCCAGAGGCAGAGTCGTGGGCAGAAACAAGGTTGGCAACAGGATCAGATAAAGGCGACAGTACCAAAGAGCAAGGCAAAACTCGGAGTCCAAAACCAAGCAGGTAAAGGCAGCAAAAAGGCAGATGAGCAGAGGTACAAAAGGGCAAGACAAAAATCAGAGGTCGAGGGGCAGGCAGGAGACTGTGAACAAGATCAGGATACTAAAGAGAAACGCTGGAAGACTACTCACCAAGGGCTTTCGCTATTCTGGCACCAGACTGTGAGGGAGAGAAGCTTTTAAGCACCAGAGCACAGGTGTTTCCCATGAACACTAACGAGCTGCAGCGAGAGGAGGTGTGACAGACAGAAAGCTGCAGATAGGAAGCAGAGCTGACAGAAACCAAATGAACATAGAGAAAACTAGAACCCAAGCAGTGAAAGAGTGTTTTAGCAAAGAGCAAAAGTGTGCATTGTGACAACACTATTGTAATTTTCTTCTCCCACATTCAAATAATCAGTTTTGGAAATAAATTACAGATAGGAAATTTGTAACTCTACTTTCAAAATATTGTTTTATATTCATAATACCATACCATCCATCCATCCATTAGCTTTACCCGCTTATTCCATTTTGGGTCACGGGGATCGCTGGTGCCCATGTCCAGCAATCACTGTGCGAGGGGCGGGGTACACCCTGGATGGGTCGCAAGTCCATCACAGGGCCACATAGAGACAAACGAGACAAACAACCATTCACTCTCTCACTCACACCTAGGGACAATTTAGAGTTACCAATTAGCCTAACATGCATGTTTTTGGTCTGTGGGAGTAAACCGGAGTACCCGGAGAAAACCCACACACGCATGGAGAGAACATGCAAACTCCACCCAGAAGGCCCCTGGACCGGGGTTTGAACCAAGGACCTGCTTGCTGAGAGGCAGCAGCTCTACCAGTTGCGCCACCGTGCTGCTCATAATACCATACCATTTTATTTATAGAGCACTTAAAATCCGTCCTCTTCAACCTGTTAAAAAGACAAATAACATTAAGTTTGTTTTATAACTTGTGTATAAGTTTTAGTATATTATGAGGAATAATAGTTGTCAAGTCTTTCCTGCAACCAGTGCTGATCTGACTTGAAAGATCCAGGAAGAAGGTAGACGCAGGCTCAACTCATTTCATCATCTTTATTAATTATTCTCAAAGATGGTTCTGCAGCAGTAGCAGCAGCATCAGTCAGAATCAGTAGAATCAACAGGTCGAAAACCTTGGAGAAAATGCAGGTTAACAGTTTAGTTTTAAATGTTTCTCAATTTGCTTAAACCATATAAATTCATAAAATGTTTTAAATTGTGTAGATATATATTCTGACAAACTAGGAAGTAACCATTTAAAAGCATTTAACCATTTATTATATTCATTAATTTTGAATATTTTTTTGGAAAATTCTAAATTTTTCCAATAAATGTTACTGTAATCTCCTATTTTCATTTCTTATTTTAATTTTAGTAATTTAAAGAGAGAAATAAAAATAATATTTGACTTGCACGATTCATTCCTAAGATTACAAAATAATTACTTTCATCAAACTCATAATATAGAAAGACTAAATGTTTTAATCTAGACTAGATGTATGATCTAACTCTGAGTCTCAAAACAGCATTAGGTCAACTCAAAACTCACAGAAACTTACAATGGTACTAAACAAACACAGAGGGCCTATGTGCTTAAAAAAACCCTCTAATTGCTCTAACATCATCACAAACTACTGTGTTGTTTACCACAAGTTTACTTCTAGACTCAAAACTGTTTGATAGGTTTATTGAGGCTGCTACTCACCGGTGCGTGTCTACTTCCTTTCATGCACTGATTGTCACAAAGAACCAAACACCTACATTAAGAAACTAATCAGGATCACAGCAGCTACAGCATAGTTTAGGCTAGAGCTCCCCCTCTGTCTGAACTATGTAAACGAACAGAAACTAAAGTTTGAATGAAAAAATTTGTTAAAATGAGGTGCAATTCAAAAGTCAAACCTGTCATTTGACACAACAATAGTAAACATTGAGCTGCAGCTGCATCAGAGCTTCTCCCATTTGTTGTTTCATGGTGAAGTTGTGGTGCTGCTTTATTGAAAAAAAAAAAGCTACGTGAAGGAATAATGTACATTGGGTCCATCGTATTAAAAATAAACCTAAACCCCTCACCTTCCACTGAGCTGTTTGATCGTAAATCCTTAGTGATATAGCAGGAGATGGAGAGGGAAATCTTCACAGCCTTTGGGGAACACTGGAAGTTTGTTACAGAGTTCACTGGTCGGCTGCTTCGCTTTCATCTTCCGTGAATTTTGTCTTATATCCAAAATACTGTCCCACAATTTTATTTTTCTGCTTCTTGTAAACAACCATGCTCTTGTAAAGTTCTGTCTTCCCCCGGAACATTATAGGATCTGAAATGATTTTTAAAGATGAAGCAGCGGGTTGAATCGCGCTGTCCCCCTCCTCCATGCTAGCAGGCTTCATTCATATAAAGGGAGCTGGCTAACTAGCTTGCTGTACGATGGCCTACACGGCTCAATTCTACAGCGGCCGAACGGGGAGTAGGAGCAGAAAAAATATAAAACTTAAATGCATTTTAAAATCGATTTTTGGACCTTTAGAAACGATTCAGAATCGCCAGGACTAAGAATATAGATTAATAGAAAAATCTTTTTTTTTTTTCTGCACCCCTATTTTTGTTTGTAGCTGTGACACTAGATAACTTTTTAAAATCTTTATTCTTATCCTTAGACTTAATTTGTATTTTGTCTTTCTCTCAGATCTGCTGTGGACCGCTCCAGAGCTTCTGAAAAATCAAGGACAAGTAGGCTCATTTTCTGGCGATGTCTTCAGTTTTTCAATCATTATACAGGAAGTGATCTCACGAACACCGCCGTATGCCATGATGGACATGCCAGCTCATGGTAAGACAGTAAGACTGGTTTGAACAGCCTTCGTTGGGTTTTCTTTCTGAATACCAGTACCTCTGACCAACTGGCTGTCTGTCTCTTAGAAATCGTGGAGCGTTTAAAGAACCCCCCCCCTTTCTGCCGACCCGTTGTTTCAGTGGACGAAGCCCCTGCAGAGTGTCTCAATCTAATGAACGATTGTTGGAATGAAGATCAGAGCAAAAGGCCAAGCTTTGATGAAATTTTTAAACAGGTGAGTTTATCTCATTTTGTGACCTAGTTATCTGAATGTGGTTAGGGTTAGGGTCATTTCATCACATGTGGGACATGAGGTGGAACGAAACTGTGTACACAGGATCCCAGTTACATCAAACAATAGCAAAATTACAGTATAAAGTGTAAAAAGAAACTAAATGATCTAAGATGTAAACCAAGATATACACTAAAAACTAATAGTGCAAACAATACGCCAAACAACAGCAACACAAACATGACTCTGTGAGTAGATGAGTACGAATAAATACAGCAACATGAAATGATCAGCAGCATGAGCTCAGCAGCATGGATAATCAGCAACACATATCACCAATCAAAATGGCATTACAGTGATTTTTTTTCACAGTGATAATCTTGATTAGGGATTTATGGGTCTAACAGCTTCAGGCTGTTCCTCAGTCTAGTGGTTCTGCACTTCATGCTCTGCAACCTCCTGCCTGAGGGAAGTGGGACAAAAGTGTGTTCTGGGTGAGTGGGGTCCTTCATGATGCAGGTGGTCCTCTTCTTGAATCTGGAGGTGTAGATGTCTGTGATGCTGGGGAGGCTGACTGCCAACAGTATTCTGTGCAGCCTTCACCACTCTCTGCAGAGCTTTTCTTTCTGCAGCTGTGCAGCCTCCATGCCACACGTTGATTCTGAAGCCCAGGATGCTCTCCATTGCACACCTTTAGAAGGAGGTGAGGACTGTGCCTCTCAGACCAGCTCATCTCAGCCACCTGAGAAAGTAGTCTCCAATGTATCCTGATGCATGCTCAATAATCCAGGTAGAAAAATCTAAAAAAGTTAAATCTGGTCCTCTGGACATTAAAAAAAAAAACAAAGCAAATCAACAAAAAAATGTAGAAACGTTTCGTCTCTCATCCGAGAGACTTCCTCAGTCTGAGGAGCTGTATTCAGCTCAGTCTCTTAAATAGCACTTTGTTTTTTTTGAATGTCCAGAGGACCAGATTTAACTTTTTTAGATAGTCTCCAATGTGCTTTCTTGATCACACTGGTAGTGTTATTGCCCCAGCTGAGGTTGTCATTCAGGTGCACACTTAAGTACTTGTAACTGGAGACCACTGAGCTGAGCTGAGAAGGACAAGGAAATGGACTGTAAATGGACTGTGCTTATATAGCACCTTTCTGTCTTATTGAGATACTCAAAGCACTTTACACTACAATCTGTGCTCTCATTTACCCATTCATACAGCACTCTACTAGATCTCTACAAAGCTAATTGAACAAATAATTCTAAAGAGACTAATCAGTGCTTTATGAAATTCATACATCGATGGGACACACATCGGAGGCATCATGGGGTTCAGTGTCTTGCCCTGAGACACTTCGGCATGTGACTGCGGGTGGATTTGAACCCCCAACTCTTGCATTGGAGGACGACTGCTCTAACCACTCAGACACAGCCACCTAAATAGATGTTTGCTGTGATTAAGAGGGCCAAAGCCACATATGCGCAAATGATTCAGGGTCAATTCACCTCACAAGACCCACGGAGCCTGTGGAAGGGCATTAAGTGTATAACATATTGTAAAGGCAGAGGTGCACAATACCCTAGAGACTCATCACTGCCTGATGCCCTCAACAAGTTATATGCATGCTTTGAAGGCCCGAACAGACAACCCAATACCAGACTCACCTTGCCATCGGAAGAAGAGTTTCTCAGTGTGACCTCAGCCTAAGTGAGGAATAATTTCAGGAGGATAAATCCTCACAAAGCAATTGGCCCAAACAACCCTAACATCTTTAACTCCTCACTGACCCTGGCAACAGTTCCCACCTGCCTGAAGATTGCCACCATCATCCCAGTCCCAAAGAGCTCCACAGTGATTGGTCGGAATGACTATCAGCCAGAAGCCCTCACCCCGATAGTCACTAAATGCTTTGAAAGACTGGTCATGACCCACATCAAAACCACCATCAGAATCAGCAAGAACCCTCACCAATACTCATACTGTGAAAATCGATCAACAGAAGACACAATCTCCTCTGTGGTCCACACTGCTCTCACCCACATGGAGCAGGCCTCCTAAGTCGGTATGATCTTTATGGACTTCATGTCTGCCTTCAATACCATGATCCTCCAGACCCTGATGGACAAACTACTCACATTAGGACTAAGCCCCTACCTATGCAACTGGGATTGTCTGAACCAGAATGTCTGGCTGGAGGCCAAAGCTTATCTTTCCTGTGGGAGTCCAGGAGGACTTCTTAACAAGCAGACCACAATCTATGAGGATCCACAACTTCTCCTCTTCTACCATAACCTACAGAACTGGCTCCCCTCAGTGCTGTGTGTTGAGACCACTCCTGTTCACTCTGCTCACGTATGACTGTGCATCTACCAGGCTGTCACGTTGTAAAGTTTACAGACGATACAGCGGTGGTGGGATGCATCACAAACAACGATGAGTCCAGCTACAGGCAGGAGGTGAAACACCTGGAGAGCTGGTGTAAAGAGAAAAACCTTCACATCAATGTGAAGAAAACAAAGGAGATGGTCTTGAACTTCAGACGGAAGAAACACACCTACCCCTCCACCACCCCAACCATAGGAGGATCTGCAGTGGAAGTGGTCTCCAGCTACAAGTACTTAAGTGTGCACCTGAATGACAACCTCAGCTGGGGCAGCAACACTATAAGCCTGGTCAAGAAAGCTCATCAGACTCTACTTCCTCAGGTGGCTGAGGCAAGCTGAGCTGGGAAGCTCAGTCCTCACCTACTTCTACTGGTGTGCATTGAAGAGCATCCTGTGCTCCAGCATCAATGTGTGGCATGGAGGATGCACAGCTGCAGAAAGAAAAGCTTTGCAGAGAGTGGTGAAGGCTGCACAGAAGTCTGTTGGTGTCAGTCTCCCCACCATCACAGACATCTACCCCTGTAGATGCAGGAAGAGGGCCACCTGCATCATGAAGGACCCCACTCACCCAACACAAACACTATTTGCCCTGTTCCCCTCAGGAAGGAGGTTGCATAGCATTAAGTGTAGAATCGCTAGACTGAGTAGCAGCTTTTACCCTGAAGCTGTTAGACTCTTAAATCCCTAACCAGGAATATCACTGTAAGTAAAACAAACAAAACAAACAAACAAACAAAAAAAACACAAAACTCATTGTAATACCACTTTAGTTGGTGATATGTCACTTTATCTGTGCTGCTGGTTATCCATGCTGCTGATCTCTTGCCTTATGCTACTGTATTCATACCAATCTGCTCACTACAGACTCATGTTCAGGCTGCTGCTTAATATACCATCTTATTTTACATTATTAATGTTGAGCATATATCTTGCCACACCATACAAATTTATTTAGTTTTCTACATTCGCCTTAGAATCTAGTTGTTTTTTTTGTTGTTACCTTTTCCTTTTAGCCATCCTATTTGTAAAAAAAAAAAAAAAACCTGCAGTATGACTTTTTATAATTGTTTATTGTTGTTGCTGTTGTCCATTGTTGTCATCTTCCTTTGTTTAAATCAGGTCTCTCTTGTAAATGAGTCCTCGAGGCTCAATGGGATTTACCTGTCTAAATAATGGTTGATTGATTTATAGAGCACTGAAAACAGCAACAAGGCCAACCAAAGTGCTGTACAAAAGAAACAAACAAGCACAGTGGGCAGAAAAACAAAATAAAACTATAGATACAAATAGCAGTGGATAATAACTAAATGGCCAACACTGTAGACTACAGACAGGATCAAAACAAATCACACCATGTCAAAGGCAGGAGAACAAAAGTGGGTTTTCAGGCGAGACTTAAAGACTGTGAGTGTGGGAGCCTGCCAGACACGCAGTGGCAACTCATTCCACAGTCTTTGACCTGCAACAGAGAAAGCCCTGTCACCTCTGAGCTTGCCACAGGTTTCTAGAACTGAAAGGAGCATCTGGTCTGCTGACCTCAGAGAGCGTGGTGGGGCATATGGCTGTAGAAGATCGGTGAGATAGGATGAGGCAGAACTGTTCAGTGATTTAAAAACATACATGAGTATTTTGAATTGGATCTGAATGTGAATGGGTTGCCAGTGTAGGGAGGCGAAAACTGGAGTAATGTGCTCTCTATGGCCTGTACCAGTTAAAAATCGGGCTGCAGCATTTTGGACCAATTGTAGACATGCAATGGAGGATTGATTGATTCCAAATAGAAGCGCATTGCAGTAATCGAGCCTGGATGTTATGAACACATGGATCACTGTTTCAAGATTCTTTTTTGACAATATGGACTTCAGCTTAGACAGCTGCCTCAGCTGAAAAAAAATCAGGATTTAACAATCATGTTTACATGACTGTTAAGTTTTAAGGAAGGGTCCATTATCACTCCCAAATTGGTGACTTTTTGTTTCTCTAATGGAGCTAGAGAGGAAAGGTCAATGCAGTGGTTCATGGACGTGCCATTGGGATGGAACAAGATGACCTCAGACTTCTTCTTGTTGAAACTTAAGAAGTTTAAAGCCATCCAGTCCCAGATGTCAGCCAGGCAGTCAAGAAGAGGTTGCCTCTGTGCTTCAGGGAGAAGTAAATTTGACAGTCATTGGCATAGAAATGAAAGGATATGTTGTGATTGTGGAAAATAGCACCTAGTGGCAGCAGGTATAAAGGAAAGAGAAGAGGACCGAGGATGGACCCCTGCAGTACCCCCGCACTGAAGTGCTGCCGATGCAGAACTGAAATCTTTGATACTGACACAAAAGGTTCTGTCAGAGAGGTAGGACCTAAACCAATTGAGGGCAGACCCTGTGATGCCCACCCACTGCTCTAGCCTAGAAATGAGGATCCCATGGTCGATGGTGTTGAAAGCAGATGTAAGGTCCAATAGGACAAGCAGCACAGAATCACATGCATCAGTGGCTAGGAAAATGTTGTTAAAACCCTCAGTAGAGCCGTTTCAGTGCTGTGGAAAGATTTGAAGCCAGATTGGAATAACTCTAGGATATCCAAAAAAGTTCATTCTGGTCCTCTGGACATTCAAAAAAACAAAAAACAAA